AAATTCATGAGCTCTTTTATAATTGTACACACACACACACACACACACACACACACACAGAGCTGCATCCCAAGCCTTGTCGGTGGTTCAGGACTTGAGATTCCTGCAGCTCCAAGAAGACACTTATTGATAAGTTATTGGATAACTTATCAGCTGGCTTATCCCTGGAGAAAACATATTCTCTCCCCCACAGCAGTTGGTTGGGTGTATCTCTCCACCTAGGGGTGAGTTCGTCTGCAATTTCCCTCAACCATGCAGTCTTGTTTAAGCAACCGTATTATTGAGATTTCATGGGTGTGGCTTTCCTGTAAGGTTTAGAAGAATTCACCCCTGCGGCGCGCTCCTCGGCCAGCGAGGAAGAACGACCACCACGCGAGGATTCTTCTCAGATCACACTTTATTGGAGCGCCTCTTGGTTAAGGGAGAGCGGGAGGTGAGGGGCCCCGAGGACTAAACTGCAGCTGCTTATATAGGGAATCAGGCAAACGTGCCGTACTGTGATTGGGTCCCGCCAGAATGCTAGCACGGGGAGCCACGGGATAAGCTGAGGACATAAGGCCAATTACCATACTCGTGCATCATAGCCAAATATGGAGTTGTTTACAGCTAGGCTACCAGGAAGCCAGCGCCATCTTTGAATGGCGGCTCCTTACACACCCCACAGCAGATGTCTGGTCTTGCAGCTTTTACATTCTTTCTACCCACCCCCCTTCAGTGATGGCCCCTGAGTCTTAGGTGTAGGGCTTCATTGTAGATGTAGTAATAGGGGCCAGGCACCTCACAGTCACTCACCAGTCGTGTTTTTCTGGAGTAAGGTCACATAAGAAAACGGGGCTGGGTACTAATTCATCATTCACCTGCCTCAGTTTCCTAGCATAATGAGGTTAAAGGTATGTACCACCACACTGCTCCCAAACACATTTTTTTCTTCAGTACCTTGATTGAAACAAGGCCTTGTGCATGCCAGGCAGTGCCCATCACTGAGCTCCACCCTGCCTCACTGTGTACTTTTCTATTATAAGACCAAATGCCACTAAATTGCCCAAGATGACTTTGAAATTACTCTATATCCAGGTAAGTCTTAAACTTGTAATCCTCCCGAGTCAACCTCCCAACAGCTGGTTGGTGCACGAGTCTTTCTGAATCTTACACGATACAGCAGAGAGAGGCAGGGAAACAGTTCTCAGTGCATTAAATGTACCTGAACTTTCAAAACTCCCTCCTTACTGCAGAGCACTTAAGTCAGCCCTGTAGTAGGAGCTAGCGCCAGCAGTTTTCAAGCTGTTGATTTTATTAAACAACCCAGCTTGGAAATGCCTGGTTTAGATAAAGGAATTCCTGGATCCCTGTCTCAGTTGGCCCAGACTTGTGGTGAGAACTCAGTGGCCGCTCCTGCCCCTCACAGGTGTGGTTTCCTTGTCTGCAAAATGGTGCATTAAGCAAAGCTCTGAAACTACCCAAGTTTTACAAATGACTCCATCAGGCCCAAGGTTTAGACACATGTGAAACCTCATGAATGGCCAGGTTGGTGGGGGTGAGGGGCGGGAATAGCAATCTAGTTCTCAGGACTAGTTAGTAGTAGAATCATTCAATTTCCCAGCCCCTAGCCTTCATTTTACTCTTCACATTAAATAGCAAGCACCATACTGCAGACTTGAAACCAAGTTCTATTTCCACTGATAGGCAGGCACCTCCAGCAGGCACCTCCAGCAAATCCTCAGCAAGAGTGAGTGCTGACTCCTTATTTACACAGGCGAGAACGGCCACATGTAGACCTTCCTGGAAAGATAATTGTTCCAGGAACACAGTGAGCATTTACAGAGGGCTGAGCAGGAAGTTATGATTTCTATCAATTTGAGTTTTTCATCTATTAAGCCTCTACCCCAATGTGTTCACCTTCCTTCACCCTTGACAAGCTGTTGCCCTTGGTGTGGGAGAGCAGAGAGGGAAAGAACTTTCCTTGGAAGCCTTCATCCTGCACTGGAAGACACTAGGCACCCTTCATGTTCTTTCCTGGTTCATGGACAAAGAAAGGAGAGCTCAGGAATATGACTCATAACAGCCAATGCTGAGGCTGTGTTTGGGAAGGCATAAGGTTAGCCCAGTAGGTCAGCCTGGCTGACTAGGGAGCTGAGACACAGGAGGTAGTGGCCTTAGGGTCCAGTGTGGGAACACACAAGTGCATGAGCCATCTTCCACAGTACGGATGGGTTTGCACCCTCCAGTTTAAGTTTCTTTTGACAAGCCACATGCTCAAATCTCTCAGACTACCCAACATTCTCTAAATGTTTAGTCTTTTGTCTGCTTCCTCAAGTGAGCCTTCCTTCTTCTTGTTCAATAGTGATCTCCTGTATGGAAGCAGTATAGAGTTCCCGAGAACAGTGAAACTTGAAGTACCTTATCGTCCAGCAATCCCACTCTGTGACCGTCTGCTCCCCCAGCTTTATTGTAGCACTGTTCCCAGTTGCCAGGTGATGAAGAGGCCCCTGTCCGGAGTTGATGAGTACATAAGGAAATCTGCAGCCAGCAGCTTTGGGGCTGGGATGTAGCTCAGTTAGTTGAGTTCTTATCTGCCATGCATATAGCCCTGGATTGGATGCTCTGCACTAATTGAAACTGGGCATGTTATTAGACTGAGGAAATAGATCCAAATTACAGTACTGGTCAAGTTGATTTCTTTCTCTCCCACCATCTCTTCTTGTAAACTGATAAGGGATAGGTGTGAGGGGGTAGATAAGAACATTTCCTTTCTTTCTTCTCTTTTTCTTTTTTTTTCTTTCTTTCTTCTTCTTCTTCTTCTTTTTTTTTTTTTTGGTTTCCTAAAGACAGGGTTTCTCTGTGTAGTTTTGGTGACTGTCCCAGATCTCGTTCTGTAGACCAGGCTGGCCTTGAACTCACAGAGCTCTGCCTCCTGAGTGCTGAGATTAAAGGCGTGAACCACCACCACCCAGCTGGATAAGGAAATTTTCATATTCAATACTATAGCGACCCTAGAATCCCCACACCCCTATTATTCAAAATATAGCATGCACAGGCCAGGACAGCTCTGTTACCTCTCCAGCCCAGGTGGAACCTGGGGCACTGCAGCGTTGGTGCTAAGGGGCATTAACTAGACTGAACCAGATTTCCAGAAATACGACAACCAGGGCAAAGTGCAAGGGGGAGAATAAGAGAGGCAGAGACACCAGGAGGTGGTGGCACATGCCTTTAATCACAGCACTAGGAAGGCAGAGGCAGGAGAATCTCTGAGTTCGAGGCCAGCCTGGTCTATAGAGTTCCAGGACGTCCAGGGCTACACAGAGAAACCCTGTCTTGAGCCCCACTGTAAAATAAAAAAGAGGCAGAGACATCACAGATCTCAGGAATGTGGCTGACCAGCTGATGACAGCCTCTGTCTCCCTCCCTATAAAGCCTGCTGGCAGAGGCTGGCTGACTGGCTCAGCAGATACAAACACTTGCCACCAAGCCTGATGACCTGTGTCTGATACTCAGAACTGGATTAACAGCAGTTCCACTCTATTCCTGTTTTGTTTTGTTTCCTCCTCTTTCTGGTTCATGACTGTTGGTCTATGCTTTGAAGGTTCTACTTGTTTGACTTCAGATCTCTGAGGAGTGCATGGCGGAGCTCCATTCCTGGCAACAGGCCTTTGGGGTATGTCCTACCAAACTGGTCCAACTATCGTTATGACCCTATGAAGAAGAAAAGAAAAAGGCGCATCTTGCAATAGTTTGGCTACTCTGTTTTGGGTTGTGGGGGAAATGGTCACTAATGAATCTCCATGTTGCATTTTTTTTTTTTTCCCTGGTTTCTCGAGACAAGGTTTCTCTGTGTAGCTTTGAGCTTTTCCTGGATCTTGCTCTATAGACCAGGCTGGTCTCAAACTCACAAAGATCTGCCTGCCTCTGCCTCTCAAGTGCTGGGATTAAAGGCGTGCGCCACCACCGCCCGGCTCCATGTTGCATTATTTACAACTAGAGTTGTTCTGCAAAGCACTGGGGAGACAAGGGAAAGATTTGTCTCAAGTTTATGTCATAAGCTTCATCTCTGACCTTGTGCTCTTATTAAACAAGCTCCAGAAGATGCAGATCTTCTTCTGGCTTCCACAGAGACTGCAGTCTGAATGGATTTAAATACAAAACAGGAAGTCACCAAAGGACTGACAGGTAAAGAGAGATTTCTGTGTGAAATATACGTGTATTTTTTCAGCACTGAGCTGGACTGTGGAGGGGCCCCAAAACTGCTTGACCACATAACAGCCATGACAGGCTCAGGAGCCTAGACACAGCTTTAAAGATTAAAGGTGCACACCTTTAATCCCAGCACTTGAGAGGCAGTGCCAGGCAGATCTCTGTGAGTTCAAGGCCATCCTGAACTACAAAGTGAGCTCACAGAAAAACCCTGTCTCAAAAAACCAAAACCTTGACAAGCTGTTGCCCTTGGTGTGGGAGAGCAGAGAGGGAAAGAACTTTCCTTGGAAGCCT